GAATGTAGAAGTGCCCCAAGTGTCATGGGTATGGATGAAGTAAAGGTAGTATGTACAACAGAATATTACTAAGCTTTTAAAAGAAAGTTTGTATGCATGGTACCACATGAATGAACTTTGGGGACATTATGCGGAGTGAAATAAGCCAGTGACAAAAGACAAACACTGTTTAGTTGTACTTATTTCAAGTTCTTTATCATAGTGTCAGAATCACAGAGGCAAAAAAAAAAACAGGACAGTGGCTTAAGAGGAGAGGGTAGGGAGAAAGGGAGATACTATTTAAAGACAAGAGTTTCAGTTTTATAAGATGTAAAGAACCATAGAAATGGATGTTTGCACTATTAATATATTTAGTATCTTTGAACTGTAAGTTTTAAAGTGAGTGAGACTATAATTTTATGTTATATGTGTTTTAACACCATAAAAATATGGAGGGAAATGGACTGCTAAGATGGCCCAATGAGCAAAGGTGCTTGCTCTGACAGCCTGAGTTCAAGCCCTGAGACCCAAGTGGCAGAGTAGAGAACTGACTCCCCTAGCTTCCATACAGGTGTACTTGCTCTCTCTAAATAAGCAATTCAGTTATTAGTTAAGTCTTAAGGGCCACAAGATCATCCAGAAGGCAAAGGCCTGCACCAAACCTGAAGCCCTGAATTTGACCCTTATAAACCACGTGGTGGAGGAAGAGAGCCAACCCCTGGCGGGTTGTCCTCTGACTGCATCATGCTCGCCTTCCCCACTACAAAATAAATAAAGACAGATCATTTTTAAAATGGAAAAATTCTCTTCCAGAAATCTCCTCAAGCTCTTTTCTGGTCTCGGCTGTTCTTGCTGTTAGGAAAAGCTGACAGGCTTGGGTCGCTACAAATGGAGCAGAGATGGCCAACTCTGAGTCAAGATAGTAGGAATTATACTTCAGGGGACTTTGATCTGGCCTTTCACACACACACACACACACACACACACACACACACACACACACACACACACACACACACACACTTGTCCATCTGTCTGTCCACTGGCCCATCCACAGACTGTTCATCCTTGCTACAGGGCAGTCAGAGCGTCAGGATGGGGGTCCAGCAGGAATCCAGGGAGCAGGCAGCCTGCTCCCGGTCAGTGCTCCCCCTGGGCTGCTGGAATCAATGTACAGTCTCACATCATCATTTTAAACCATTTGGTTGAGATTTAACTTTCATGCCATATACTCACCACTTTAGAGAGCACACTTCGTTTCTGTGTGTGTAGATTCAGTTTTGCAACCATTACCACATTCTGGTTTCGGAACATTGTCATCATTCCCTAAAGAAACTTTATATACATTTCTCCCCACTAACTCCTGACCCCATGCTAGGCCTAGGTAACCACTCGTTGTTGTTTAGATTTGTCTATTGTGACAAATGTCCTGAGAAAGAAATCAGGGAAACAATAGCCCATTGTGGACATTATTGCATTCTGAATGTAACAATGAAAAATGTGGTCCTTTGTGTCCAGTTTCTTTCACTTAGTTTAGTGTCTTCAAGTTACTTCCAGGTTTTAGCGTGGATCAGAACTTCATACCTATTCTCGGTGAATAATATCCACTGCGTGGTTATCACACTCATCAGAGTCATTCCTCAGTGATGGACATTGAGTTTAGCTGCTTTATCCCTATCTTAACATTTGTGTCCACGTTTTTACAGAGATATATGATTTTCATTTCTTTTGGCTATATATCTAAGAATACAACCTCTTGGTTATTCAATAGACATTTTAAGATGTTGAGAAATGATAAAATTGTATTTTTTTTCAAAGAGACCAGACCATTTTACATTCTTACCAGTGATGTACAATTTAAGGGTTCCAGTTTCACCACTCCTCATACTAATTGTTCTCTATTCACTTGTTTGTTTGGTGTTCCTTTTGGTTTATTTGTTTTTTTTCTTTCTTTACCTATTTTCTTCTTAAATGACAGATGGTAGTTTACATATTTATGGAGCACAGAGTAACGTTTCAGTATGTGTGCACAACACGTAATGATTGGATGATGAAATGGAACGAATCATCTTACTTTAAATTCTTATAACTTTCTAATAAAAACACTCAAAATCCTTGCTACTAAATACTTTGAAATGTTCAGTTCACTGTGGTTGGCAGTTATTCTCCCGTGTGTTAGAGCATCAGAGGTGACTGTACCTTCCATTACCGTCTGTGATAGGTCCTCCCCTCAACTTCCCTTCTACCCCGGCTACTACCTCATTGTTCTTTGTGTCTTATAGGTGTTTTAGGCCCCACCTATAAGTGAACCACGTGACACTTTTATTCTACGCCACACAGACTATAATATCCTCCAGCTCCCTCCATGATACTGCAAATGACAGTTTCCTTTCTTCCTGGTTTTGACCATTGCATTTACTGAAAGAATGAGATTGACTGGACAAACATCTACGGACCTCCCAACCCCATGAGCATCATTTCATAAGAACCTTTGTGATAGCATCCTGGTTGTCAGTGTAATACATATGTGTGAAGTGCGCTGTGGCCAACTTACCAAAACGTGTTTGTGCAGGACCAGCTGGAGGGAGTCTTTCAACCCTTCTCCAGATACAAGTCCCCAGATCCCTTAGGAAGCTCATTTCTGGGCAATCCTTGGACATAGGAGCAGTAAACCCCTAACTTGGGTTGTGTTAAGAAACAAGAATAGAGACTTATGCCTCCAGGTCAAGGACAAGTGTGTCACAACTCACACAGGGTGTTCCTCTGTGTGAGTCACCAGGCCCTATGAGGCATCCTAACTGTCACTATTCTTGTCACAATTCTCTGGGCAGCCATCTGAAGGCACAGTATTGTTGAGACTCCAGGGAGAGGCACTTGAATTTAAGTTCGTTGACAGCAGCCAGAGGCTTTTATGTGTTCAGTGCAGTCAGTGCTCTTACTGCTGTTAGGGGGGGACGGTGAGGTCATGCGACCTCAAGCATGGACCAGGAACTCTGGCCATTCTGAGAGGCGGAGCTCTCAGTGAGTTCCCTAAGGATTTCAGCAGCTCAGAAACCACAGACACTGCTCATACTGCACTATTACAAAGAGTGTGTGACTAGTATCAATACTTTGTGAGGTATCCTCCAAGAGATTTGAGGAGAAATACACTTGCTTAACAAAAGGACCGCACATAAGTACCCCGTCTCCAAGATCTCAGTGCCCCCACCCAGCCCATGTTGTAAGCATTTCAAATGTAAGGTAGGAGAGAGGCTCACAGGAAGTAGGTGCCTCCCAGCAGACGGCACTCTACACAAATAACCACTTTCCATTACCCTACCATTGTTCACACGTGCACATCTGAATGCATACGCATTTCCAGATGATTGGAGACCTGAAGAAGTAGCCTCAGGTTAGACAGTGGAATCACTCTGCTTCTGGGTTTTTTGAGTCCTGGAAATACTGTTAGTTCTTTTTGCATGGGGACTATGGGATGCCCTCTGGTCAAGCCAAATTTTAAAAAGTTGTTTCTTGTCAATATTTTCACAGTGAGAATACACAAAACAGTTAAAAGGGAATCAATGGGCAGTTGCTCCAAGATGTTATAACAATATCTAGCTGTGAAGTTCCTTTTCTAAATGAAAGGGAAAAAACAAAATGCAGACCTCAAACATGGGCCATGTGAGAATTATTTAAGAGGCAGTGAAAACTGGAAAGCTAAAGGTAGTGTTTATCAGACCCCGGGAAAAGGAAATGCGGTCAGCAGTTATCTAATAAGAGGCAGTATGAACACCATCCTTTAGGTCCTATCTTGGGACTTGGACAACAAGATAGCCTGGACTATCAGCTCTGCAGCTCACTGTGGTCCAAAGGATGGTCTGAGAGACAGACCTGCTGTTTGCTGTCACCAGTGTGATACCTAAGCAGTGTGGCCTTGGGCAAATGACCGACCTCTCCATATGCAGTCATCTCATCTGTAATCATTTCTCTTCTCATCCTTTGAGATCATTGAGGCTGAGTTGCTCTAAGAGAT